GGCCATGTGCTTCCAGTTAGGCTGGCGCTCCGCCCTGAGCAGAGGTTAAGTGAAACTACCTGCTCCGCTGTGGCTGCTGATTATTTGCTTTGTTCCCCGAGCTGCCAGATCATAAAACACTTGTGTTCCACGTTCCCGCCGCTCTCCGAGTCCCTGAGGTCGGTGATCGTTACGCCCGGACGTGTGGTCGCACAACGCCGCCTTTCAAATGCCACGCCTGACGGCCTCGCGTACGACTCACAGCGCGGGGCCATACGTCTGCAGTGGATCGTCACAGACGTCCGAACTTCTTCCAGAAAGATTTGACCTCGTTCGTCATCTGGGCGACGTTGACGAACGTGATGCAGTGAGGGTGGAAAAAAAAACGAGGTTTGCGAGACGTGAACGTGGACTGGTTTCCTGTTAATTACTGACGCAGACGAGGACGAAGACCATAACTCTGGACTGCTCCTGTTGGTTAAACCCGCGGCTCCCAACCCTTACTGTACCGTGGACCGGTTAAATCTTCAAAATCAAACCATCTTTCAGTCTTTCTCTCTGTCAGTATCAGAGTCTGAATGACCTTTGACCTGTTGTTCTGAAACACTGACTGATGATCTTTGAATGTAAACAGTGAAGAGACATGATGATCTTTGAATGTAAACAGTAAAGAGACATGACTGGATTATTATAGAACATCAGTAAAAACCTAAGTACATTTTTTCACTATGGACCGGTACAAAATGACTAACGGACCAGTCCCCGGACCAGGGGTTGGGAACCCCTGAGTAAAGCTATCATAATCATCCCCAGGTCGGTGGCCCTGTGCTTACATTAGTTTACTGACAGAGATTTATTTTATGCCCACTCTCTCTCTCTCTCTCTCTCTCTCTTTCTCTCCCTCATCGGCGCCTCCTGTTGACTCTGATTAAAGTAAATGAGTGAAATAAGATCCAATGGAATTGAAATGATGAGCGAAGGCTGGAAAGAAACACAAGGGCGGCGACAACCACACTGATTATGTTTCAGCAGTTTGTTGAATCTGACTCTACGAACAAACGCTTTTAATAACAGTCGTATATTTTTACATTTCTCTGATGGTTTGATGTCGTCTTTTTTTCTGATGGAGGTAATGAGTTAACGCTGTTAATTAATTGGTGAAGATGAATCAGATCAAAGCGTACGAGGTGCGGTGTATATGGACTTCACGGGCGTTAAACTGGCATCCATATAATAACAACAAACAATATATATATACTGTATGTATGTCATTAAATACATATATGTTCAAAATCTTTCTGTGTATATATTTATATGCATGTATTGTATAAACATATAATTAAATTTTTCAAACAATTTATGTGCATATATACATGTATGCTTAAAAATATATTTATATTTTTGGAACAATATATCTATATATAGATGTTTGTTTAAAATATATTTATATTTTAAAACACTATATATTTTATGTGTTTATATTTATGTACATGTATTGTATAAAAAAATAATTCAATTTTTCAAGCAAAATATGGGTGTATATATACTTACATGTTTTTGAAAATATATTTAAATGTTTTAAACAATATATGTACAGTATATATGTGTATATATTTATTTACATATATTGTGTAAATATATATAATTAATATTTTTAAACAACGTGTGAATATATACATATATGTTTCAAATATACAGTATATTTATATGTTTGAAACAATATAAATGTTTATATATACTTACATGTTTAAAATATATTTAAATGTTTTAAACAATATATGTACAGTATATATGTGTATATATTTATCTACATATATTGTGTAAAAATATATAATTAATATTTTTAAACAACATGTGTGAATATATACATATATGTTTCAAATATACAGGTGATTTATATGTTTGAAACAATATAAATGTTTATATATACTTACATGTTTAAAATATATTTAAATGTTTTAAACAATATATGTACAGTATATATGTGTATATATTTATCTACATATATTGTGTAAAAATATATAATTAATATTTTTAAACAACGTGTGAATATATACATATATGTTTCAAATATATATTTATATGTGTATATATTTATATATGTATATATGTGTATATATTTATATGCGTATATATTTATATGTACAGATATTGTTTTGAATATATATTATATATTTGACAGATCTGAATATATATATAAATATATATTCAAATGTAAGTAAATATTTGGTGCTGTTCAAAGACTGAACCGACTCCCCTTGTTTTGATGTGTCAGCCTGACTCTTCCAGGCCGTATTTCATTCTTATTTTTGTGTTTTTACACCTCTTTTCCCACTCTGTGTCTGTAGGCGTGGGTGTAAAAGGGACCGCATTCCCAGTGGGGACAGTTAAGTCCCGCACAAGGGGAAGCAATCAGACCCAAACCTCTAAATGATGTGTCGTCTTCCTCCCTCCCCATCCGGCTGGAGCCTGCGAGTGGCGGTTGGTTTGTCCCATCTTCATCTCCGCCGCCACACTCTGGGCTGGGGTTCCCCACTGAGAACCCACACGGCTGCGCTGGAAGTGCTGGGATAATGAGACGCTGTGAGGACAACAAACACGGCATCTGCCCTCGCTCTTTAGTCACATCGCAAGTATGTATGTGAAACTCCCGACCTCAGAGTTTAGACAGGGCACCGTTGAGAGGTAAATTACAGACGTGTACGACACAGTGCAGTGGAGTAGTGTAACTCATGTACACACGTAAATAACATGGAAGCAGAAGAAGTCAACGGGGACTATAGATAGATCGGACTAACCTAATATGGTTAGGGATGTCCCATAATATGGACGATATTATGGGACATCCCTAACCATATGTTGATCCGACTGATATCGCGATATTAGCATAATTGTGCAATACTGTATCTGTAAGAATCTGTATCAGCTTTTCCCCCAATAACACAATGTCTGGGTTTCACCAAATGATGGTATCACCTAAAAGTAGTGGGTTTCGCCAAATGATGTGTCACCTAAAAGTAGGTTTGGGAAAAAACGGCTGTATATGACAGTGAAAGTCACTAGATGGCAGCATTTCAGCTCATTTTATTCATCTATTATACTAATATTACCAAGGCCTTAGGCCCTAGTATTTCAATTGGGGGGGTGGACTTCTGTCCACTAGGGGGGGCATGGCAAAAAATAATTGAGAAACACTGCTTTAACCCATCACCTTAGTGAGCAGGCGACACTTACCTTTCTTAACCACCAGGGCACCGCTGTCCCGCTATATTGATATTGGTTGCTATCGGAATCAGAAATTAAGTTTTTGGACAATATCGGCTGAGTTAAGTTAATATCGGACATTCCTGCATATGGTCGTTGTTTTTTTTCAGTCAAACTCCATCTTTATGGATCATAAAGTGCAGCGACGCTGTGTTTTGCTTCAAATTCGACCTCAAAGACGATGAAACACAGTGTGTAACGTTCTAATGAGTGGAACAGTAATGGCCTCAGACGTTCTCCAAAACCAG